TTAACCCGGGGTAGCTTAAGGATGCTGCCTCACACTCAGCTGTCTGCTGATGCTGTGTCTTGTCCTCCGTCATTAGATGAGTAAACGTGATGGGTGCTTAAAGTAGAGTCTTTCATAATTTTTTATTTTCGTTTAAAGTATACTAGACTGAAGGTAAAGTTCAAAAAAGAGTTTGCTTTCATTCAATGTGGAAATTTATATTGAACTATTATGCAAATGAGAGGCTTAAGTAAAATCATAGGAACAACAATCATTCTTACATGAATGTTTACATACTTTTTTCCCTTAGATTTTAATTTCTCTTTGCGTGTTAAATAATAAGAGAATGAGACAAGAAATAGGAAAGGATGGCAGATTTTGTTTTGTTCTGTTTACCTCCCGTTTACAATATTGGTCCCTAAAATATTTATATTTAGTTCAGAAAATAGCTCCTTTTACATCACTGCAAAAATACGTAAATTATTTCACTTGAACACAATTGCTATTTTCATACAATAAGTAACTTATAGGCATTAATATATAATGAAAATATGAAATTCTATAGTGTATTTATAATGCAATCATAGAGCTTAAGGCACAAATGCATCATTAATTCATCTAGTCTAAACATGCTGACCGTTACATTTCACAGCTTTTCCCCTCTATTTATTCTTGTAATTTGAGTTTCTTTAAAGACCCACAGATTTTATTTAGATTTGCACATACCAAGCAGCAACATATCCTCTAATTTCCTTTACAGTTTTCAGTTTGCCTCCTAAACATACACACAGAAACTCATTTCTCGGCTATGGAAAACACTGTTCTCTCCTCAGCCAGTTCTGTGAACAGCATTAAGTATACCTAAATGTCACTTCTGTAAGTTAAAAACTTACTCTCTACCTTGCAAAAATAGTTATGCAGACAGTAATTATTCCTTGCAGTTTTCTTTTCTGTGTTCTATTAAATCAGCATTTCTCTTTTTGTACTACCCAGAGCCATTCTGGAAAGAGCATCTGCCTAGTCTAGACCTCCCTGCTAGGCCCTGTTGGACTCTTGCAGCCCTTTCTTGGCCACTTTCCTCTGCTGTATTGGGCATAAAACATGTTCAAGGCATCTTCCTCTTCAGTTCATCTGTTCTCTAATTGCTTATTGTCTCCAAACTAATAGTAAGATGATAACTTTCATTCAGCCTGTAATACAGGCCACCAGTGATAAGTTTCTCATTTTCAAACATGCTTTTTTAGCGTTTCCTTCTATTTTCTTCCACATGGTCTGAAGGGGGAACTGTGCAAGGCTATGTCATTATCTTTTGGGGGGTTCATTTCTTTGTTCTAGAGACTACAAAATCCTGATAATGCTTAGACTGCTGTGATTTTAAGTGTTTCTTAGCATGACAACTCTCTTACTGGGAAGATTTACATTGATAAATGCAGAAAGTCATTCACTCTGTACTCTGGGTCAGAATTTCATAAACCATCTACATTGCAAAGGCATTTATACATCTCTGGATATCACTGAGAGTCTCCACTAGAGAGTCAGAAATGGTGGACAAAATCTATGACCATTTAAATTTTGTATTCTCTGTTTACCATTGATCCATTTTCTATATCTTAAATTATCTAGTCATTGCAGCATAGTAAAGTCTTCTTTTTTTTCAGTATATGTTTACATTATTTTAGGATACAGAAACATTTATGTGCTGTATAAAGGAGAGTCTTGGTATTTTCTCCCCATGGAAACTCATACACACTGTAGGCAATTTGCCACTTGATCTTTTTGAAAAGTGAAATGATTAGGTTTAAGTCCCTGTTAGTAAAAGATTTTCTCCAGCATTTGAATATTTATTGTGATTCTTCTCTTGATTCTCACCATGTTTTCCAATCTCCTTTAAAAAATGCAAATACCAGAACTTTAAGAACAAATCTGATAGTATCTGTTGTGACAATACCTTGTAGAGTGATAAACTCATCTCCCAAGTGCTGCTTACTACTGTGCACCTGAGAAAGATTGTTTTAACCCTTTTTGTTTCAGATCCCAGTAGTAGTTCATACTGAGTTGGTCATTCACACTGGTCTCTAAATTGTTTTGGGAATTGTTTCATTTCAAGAGGAAAGTAAATCATTTGCAATGTAAATGAGGCCTGGATTCCTTGTTCTCCTAAGTATAACTTAGCTGTGATTGTATATAAAAAAAAAATAAGTAAAAAATTGACCATTGTACAATCTCTTTATCCTCTGTACCATTAACCATTATTAACCATTTTCTTTTCAGTCTTTGGGTCATGCATAGACCTCTCAGCTCTAATATATTTGTCCTATCAAACTTAGTGCATCTGATACTCTGGGAACCTTGCAAGCGCATCTGGAAATTTCCTTTTCTGGTGTTGGTCCCCTTCTAAAAATTCCTATTTTAGCCAATTTTTGATTCATTTATTTTGCACTTCACTTTATTTTATTTTTATCTGTGTCACAAGAAGGAGCTAAGAAATATACTGGGGGATTGGAGAGCATCCATCTGTACCACTCCTGCCATTACATTTTTTGTGATGTTAATGTCTTCATCATGGCTCACTTCCACTCCCTGTTGTTTTAAAGCTGAAAAGAATTTATTTCTACTACCATTTCATTCCCCAGCCATGTTGACTGTATTCCTTTATACCTTTTAAGTTAGCTTAGTTTTTTTTGAGATGAGGCAATGATTGCTTCAAGATACAGACATACTATAGATTTATGCACTGGCATCACAAGGCTTTCTGGTTTGTTCTTTATTCCTTTTCTAATCTCTTTTAACATCCTATTTTCTGTTTTGACTGCCACTAAACATTCAGTTGATATGTTCAAAGAACTATCTGCAATGACTTCAAGACCATTTTCTTGAGTGGTAATTGCTAATTTAGAACCTATCATTGTGTATTTGTAGCTAGTTGTTGATTTTTTTTTTCTTGTGCACATTGCCTTCAGCTCATTGGCACTGAATTTCATTCTCTTATTTTATTGCCAAGTCACTTGATATTGTGAGATCCTTTGCAGTCAGCTTTAATTTTTATTGCCCTAAATAAACCAATACTATTATCTCACCACAGCCTGGAATCAGGTTAGTTTGACTAAATCTGTTTTCCATGTCTTTTTTCTCTTCATTAACATGAATTTTGTTTTTTTTTTTTCCTTCTTACTATATATATTTTAAAAAACAACAACAACAACAACAAAACCCTTAGAAGAAAGTAAAATATTTACTTGCAGGGAAGAGATTATACGAAAGTCACATTATCAACGCTGTAATTTCCAATGATTCATAGTATTTTATGGTTGTGTCTTTGAGACACTCCTCTCTGATTTTGATGTTGCATATAAACTAATTGACGTTTTGACTGATTACAAGAAAATTAAGCGTGTGACCCAGATCCATTGATGTATAAAGCCCAGAATCAATTTGTCTGAACACTTTCAGCCACAACCATGAATATTTTTTATTCTACTAACTTAAGAGAACTGCAAGACATTAATAAATGTGTAGGGCAGGATTTTCTAAGGGTAGAGATCCAGTTCCTAGTCATAATAAAGTAGTCACACAGTGCAAGGAACATTTTGTTTCTCCTGTCCACCTGTCTTGAATGTATTAACCTTTTCCAAAATGCAGGAGCACTGAGTTCATAATTTCAGAGTCGCTGTTGTTTCCCTAGTTAGTGGGTTTTGGAAGGGTCGTGGAGGAGGAGAAGATAAGGTAAAGTGGCCTACCCTTACTTCATGCTCAGAATCCTAGTTTGTAGCATCATGTCAGTATGCTGATGTTGCCCCTAAGCATCTGTTGCAGTTACTACCTAGACAGTACAGTATATAGTACAACTTTCTACAACTTTTCTTTAAAAACATTTCTGGGAAATAGTATTTGTAAGTAGTACTTGATTTAAAAAGCTTAAAAGATGTTGCTACAGAACTGAATTTTTTCTGGTGGTCAGTGGAGTTTTTTTGTTCTGGACACCAAATATAAATTCACAGTCAACTCGTACTTGTTTTCAAAGGGGACTGGAGAGAGGGAAACATTGGTGTTATTTTGCACTTATGCACAGTACTCGTCTGAACTGTGCTACTTCAGGAAATCTTGGTATTTCCCATATTAAAGAGTAAATTTTGAAGCTTTTTGCAGAACAAAAAACTTGTGGATACCTAGCATAATTCAATAGTTGAAGGGTTGTATTAATTGAAACCAGCATGTACAGCAGAGGTGCCAATATGACTGAAAGTTCTTCATGCAACTATTAAATCCAGATAATTTTATAAAAGAAGCTGTCTAAAATGTTAAAAGATCATCTGAGTGCTTACATTCGGTATCAACTTTAGAAGCCTTTTGTAAGTATCCAGAAATTCACTAAAAGAGCTTGAATTCAATGATCTTTCTACCAAAATACTTCATGGGTTAAATGTTACAATACAAAAACATTGAAGCCAGAGGGAAGGCATATGCTCTGATTGTAAATTGCAGGTGTTTAATAATTTTATTTTTTTTGTTACCTTCTTCTGTTGTGTCTTTGGGGCTATAATGTGGTGATGTCCTTGGAGATGTTTTCCCTGGGGAATTAGCCATAGAAATTCTCAATATGATAAAACAGGCCTATTTTCATGTGCAAACCCAGTTCCTCAAAGTAATTATATTCCCTGCATAGCTATTGTTCCTGCATCTCAGGAAATTATTCAGAATTTACAAAGTGAGAGAAATATAAATCGGTATAATTTTTTAGTATACTTCCTCCTCTTTTCCCATCTACTAAATGTGGAACTTGCATTACATGTTTGTTGAGACTGTTGTGGGTATGTGTTCAGTTGTAATGGAGCTTATACTGTGCTGATGGAGACACTAATAACATTTCCAGGAGACAACTACAGCATTAGAGTTGTGCATTTGCTTTTGACTTTGAACATGGGTGGTTGACTTGTTTGTCATCCTGGTAGAGTTTAGTGTTCCTCTATTTATTTGTTTTGTTACAATTTGTTACAATTATTTTTTTTCTTTTGTAATTGCAGTTGTTTCTTATCCTTACTGCTGGTAGCTGCTGTCGTTTGGAAAATCAAACAAACCTGTTGGGCTTCTCGACGGAGAGAGGTATCAAAAACTTTATTGCAGTAGCTTTATCTTTCAGAATAAATTGAGAACTTTGATGAACTATCACACCTCCACTTTCTCCTGTATATGCAATTTAAATATCCTTTTTATACCCTTGACTTTTTATACTGAAGAAGAAAACTTTATTTCTTTCATCTGTCAAGAATTAGATAAATTGCAGCACTAGGCTGCAGAAAGCTAAATTTTCTTTATGGTGGCATATTTAGAATGGAATAGAATATTTCAGTTGAAAGGGAACTACAAGGATAATCCAGCCTGACCACTTCAGAACTGACCAAAGATTAAAGCATGAGCATTGTCCAAATAACAATATCTTTAACACTGACAGGCTTGGGACACTGACCACCTCTCTAAGAAGCCTGTTCCAGTGTTTGACCATTGCTCTGTAAATAGATGTTTCTTAATGTCCAGTCAAATGCAGCTTTGAAGCATTCTCATGCATCCTATCTCTGGATCCCAGGGAGAAGAGATCAGCAGCTCCCTCTCCCTGTCCCCTCATCAGGAAGCTGTAGAGAGCAATGAGATTGCTTCTCAGGCTTCTTTTTTCCAAACTAGATGACTCCAGGTTTCTTAGCAGCTCCTCATAGGACATTCTTTCCAGCCCTGTCTCCAGCTTTGTTGCCCTCCTCTGGACGCACTCGAGTACCTTCACATCCCTCTTAAATTGTTGGGCTGCATACAGCACTCAAGGTGAGGCTGCACCAGAGCTGAAACACATTTTTTGACTGGTTGGTTTTGCTGTTTAATGCATCGCAACTCTCTCAATAATCTCAAAATAGTAGTGCAGAAACACTGGCAAGCTGAATGAACAGAGGATCATAGTGTAGCATGTCAGGCTTCCAGTAATTTATTTAATGTTGTGACGCTGTGTTTTTATCAATAGTCATTGGAACACCGAGTAGGAGAAAACTCTCATGCAAAGAGTTTATACTGTCTTCTTTTTTATTATCTCTTTTTTCTTGTAATATTTTTTTAAATTCTGAGAAAAATTCTCTCTATATGAATATCAGTATTTCTGTCACTAAAACTGTGATACAATTGAAGCCCTTCAATAAACACTCATGCATTAAATCACCTTATTCTGTTGTCTAAATTCTTACAGCTGTGTTCAAAAATTTGGATCAAATATTTGTTCTTATCTTTTTAACAAATCATTACACTTAGATGTGATCAAACTTTGGTTATGTATGCTGCTGCATGTATATAGCATGATTTTATACTGATAGTAGTTGTATTTAATTTTGTTCTCATAAATAAGATCTATAATTTTTAGACAATGATTTTTCACGCCCTCGAAGTTTCTAAGCTTGATTTTTGGAAAGAGCACTTGCTTAATGAACTGTAATCTTGATTTTTTTTTTTTTTTTTAAAGGACAATCTTTTGTCTACTTAATTATTTCTTCTTAATATACAGGCACTATGAATGTTTGAATAACATTTTTTTTTACCATATATCTACAGAGAATTTGTATATGCTTTAAAAGTGCCAGGTAACTAGCACTTATACTTTTCCTTCACTGAAATTATAGTGTACTAACACCAAGAGTTAGCTTAAACTGGTGCTACAAAGAAAAATGTATATTATCAGTACTTATTTCCTTCAGGTATTTTTTTAATTCATATGAATATTGTTAAGCATTTTCAACCTCTAAGGGCAAATGCTCATCTATTTGTTATTACTTGCGAAATACAGATAAAAGTTACTTTAAGCTACAGTATTCTGTTCAACTTATTAATATTTCATTCATATTTGTCTCAATACTTAATAGTTCTGTGCAAAATTATATTGTGATGGAATGTAGTAATTCATTGATTTAATCTCTCATGTTAATAAGGTTATTTTATTGATGCATTTAAGAAAAAATACAAACATACGTATTTACAGATCTAGGGGGTCTAGTCTGTTTTCTATGGTTGCTTACCTATATTTCTGAAATATTTTTTTAATGCTGTCTCGAGGCATCATCTGATAAAGAACACATTCTTGTATAAAAATTTCTTGAAGTTTTCCAAGATTTATTCTCTTAATGTCACCAAAAAGCATTTCTAAGATTATATGAAAGTTCATATAAGCTGGTTGATAAATGCAACATTACCATAAATCAGCTTAGTCGGAAGAGCAAAACAGAAAGACATACTTGGCAAGGGGATTAAAAGTCTCAGAAGTTCATGCTTTCCTTGAGTATAACTAGAGAAACTTTGTTTTCTCACATAATTAGAGTGTGGAAGCATCATGAATTAATTGTAAATATTCAAGAAATTCTCTATTTTCATTCTGATGTTGCACATCAACTGCAGTACATGTCAAGTACAAGTTTTTGATAATAGTTTCCTTTAATGTAGCTCAGAAAACATATTTTTATATGGAGCCATATTTATAAGGTTTTCAATTAAGTGATACAGATAAATTGTATAAATAACAAAAGAGTAGAGGCAACCTATTGTTGAAAAGATTTCTGAAGTATCTACTTTTAAAGCCCATGACCTGGCAGACTCTTTAGCTGTTATCCTCAATAAGGACACAAACTACAGTAAGAAGTGAAATATAACAAGAACAGAAGCCAATATAAAAAGCATGCTGTTAATAGCTGTGCATCCATTTACTGTTCCTCTCAGTCTGTTTTCCCCTAAAGGAGGAGGAACATTACTATCCAGTTCTTGTGATCTTTTGGTAATTAATTTTATCAGGCTGTTGAGGTAAGCCAATAATTTTTTGAAGATTTGTAGAATCATATGTGCAGCTGAAAATTCAGAACCTTGTGCTGTTTTGCCCTCTGACTAATGCTTTGCTACATTACTGATTCCAAATTGAATGTAGCATGACCCCAATCCAATACAAAGCAAGAGCAAGTTGTTTGCATTGTGCAGTGGGAATGTCTCAGTTTTCCCAGTAATTTAGAAATTTTCTCTCCAGTTTCTTTCCTCATTCATTGTTCATTCAACAAATATTTGCAAAGCACTGCCCAAATCTTACTGAGCAATTCTAATTTAGGCTCTATCATATATATGTAAGAAACTGTTATGTGTATATACATATATGTATATGCATATATATATATATATATATGAAAATAAATATATAGGTAGAGTCTTCCAAAATACTTTAACTGATGTTTATCAATACTGGATTTAACTCCCCTTTCTCCATAGCTATTGGTCTTTTAATTTATTTAATTATAATAATTTTCCCCTAAGTCAAGTCCTTGAGTTTTGGTAATTTTTTTTTTTTACTCATAAAAAAATTTTGGTTCTAATTTTTTTCTTGCCTACATTGCTGTCTCTTAAGACATACTTTACCTAAGGCTTTTTGAACATCTATATTTATACTTTAACTCCTAGATGAGTTTCTCTTCTTCTCTCCTGCCTTCTGAGAGGGCAAGAGACAGCAGATAGACTCTGTCTTACCTTATACCATCAAAGTTATTCACCTTTTGCATTGAGGGAAAATGGAAAGTATCATTCTTTTATTTTATAGCTCCAAAAAGATCAATGAAACTTTGAGCAGGAGAACATGAGCAGCCTCCTGCCTGCCATCCCTTGACACCTTCCCCCACTCATCCCTCCCATGGGTTTGTGTCATTTTAAAAAAGGTTTTTAAGAAGGGCTGCAGTAAGATAGTGGAATATTGCTCATTGAGAGAGCTTGATCCTCGAAAGGAATAATACAGAATATGATGATTTCCAAAGCGTAATTCTTATGGCACTATCTTTCTTGAGAAAAACAAACAAACAAACGAAAAACAAAACAGAAGAAACTTGGAACATTCATAACAGAGCAGGATAAAATTTACAGATAAGCATGGAAATTCATGCAGGAGTAGAAAAAGGGCAAGATATATCTGTTTGTCAAAAAAGTTAAAGGAGTTCCTAAGTATTGCAGAGTTTAAGAATAGCAAAACATTTTGCAGTAGAGTCCTACACTATGTTAGAAGATCAGATATGTTCTCTAGGTTATAATCTCCCACCCTTCTTTTTCCTCCAGAGACTCACAAATCTTTCTAGTAGTACGTTTCTCAGTAAAATTTGAGTTATTAGTTCACTGGATGAAAAACCAAGAGCTGTCATCTTCTCCCAAATGATTTGTTAAACCTCTTGCATTTTATACCCTGAATTCACCCAAGAGCCCATCCATGAAGCTTCAATCTGACTCTGGTTTCCTCCTTTATACAAGAAAAGATATATCACCCAGATTTGCCAAATCAGAAAATTGAAGAGAATATTATTTGTTTTCCCTGCACATTTCATACCTAAAGTATTCATTCAATATTCTGTTGAGAATGGGTACAAGACAATCTGTTCTTAGATCATTTTCCTGAAAAACTTGATAGGTTGCTTACCAGATTTGTAGTGGCTCAAAGGTTTTGTCTCATGAACTTCTGATTTAAAGATACCACACTGCAGATAAAATTTGCATCCAAATGATTTCTTTTTTGATAGTGTGTTGAGTTTTTTTTTTGCTGGATTACACTGAGGCCACTAACAAACTCATGGATTATAAACCACACTGCCTCTAGTTCAGGTATTTTTGCAAAGCATTTGTCCTTCAAACAGTTGCTGCTCAGATACCCTTTGTGCTATTCGTTCGAACAGATGTTTTCAAAATACATACATGTGCCAATGTGTTGGGTGTCCTTATATAGAATCTTAGAACCACGGAATTGTTTCAGTTGAAAGGATCTTTAAAGGCCATCTAGTACAATCCTCCTGCAATGATCAACTTCAACTAGATCAGGTTGCTCAGAGTCCCATCTCACCTGATCATGAATGTTCCCAGGGATGGTGCATCCACTACCTCTCTGGACAACCTATTGCTGTGATTCACCACCCACATTGTAAAAAATATTTTCCTTATATCTGGTCTGAAATATATATTTGTGTATATTGGATCAGTCAATTAGTTAAAACACAATTTTACTTTTTTTTTTTTCATTGAAAATAGCTTTTTTACACGTTATTATAGTTACACGCTACAAAAAGATT